GGCTTGAGAATCTATTAAAAGGAGCTAAAATCCACCACAAATTTCAACAACTTATATATTTCATCTCTTATAGCCTATCCTTCTTGATTATCATTGATTTTCTCATTGCTCTTTGTTTTTCGACACCAACATACATTTGAATGATACTAAAAACTCACCTAATTTCTAGCAACAAAAGTCACTAAAAAAATAGGTTTTCCGTAGAATTAATAATTTACTTATTATATACTTCTTACTCCTTGTGACAGTATATACTTGCACTTATTCTTATAAGTTTTATACCATTTTATTATGTACCTTCACAAGCAATCAAATTTTTCAAGTAGTTGCCAGGGAACCTAATTTAGTTACTTTACTTGTTGGAAGATTACAGCGAGTTTGAGGACAAAAAAAAAAAAAAAAAAAACCCACAATAAACTGAATTTTCTAGTGCTAAATTTATTTCTACAGAATTTTCTATTACTGAATTTTCTACTACAAAATTGGGTGTATGAACCCACCCACGGGTTTAGAATTTATTTTGGTTCTTAAAATAGAGACAACCTCTTGGGGAGGATTGAGGGAGCAAAGGTTGAGAATGACTTAAAAAAATATACATCAAGGAAACTTTGGAGTCCAAATGAATCAAAAGTTCGAAAATTCAACCATACTGGCTAATTTAGAGAGAATCATTACTAATGCTATTCATTAGTAGATGACAGAGAAAGAGCAATTAGAGTATATGCATATCCAGTTGTGGAAGAGCTAAATTCATGCATTATTAGACCGAAAATGCATGCTACTACTTTTGAGCTAAATCCCGTGATGAATGCTGCAAACATTGGGCAATTTCATGGACTACCATTTGAAGATCTTTACCTACCTCTAAAGTCATTTTGGTAATTAGTGACTCATTATGATTCCAAGGAGTGGATAGAATCGTGGTTAGACTGATCTTATTCCCTTATTTTTTTAGGGTTGGTGCTAAATTATGGTTAAATACTTTAGCACCAAGAGCAATTGATTCTGGAATAGTCTAGCAGAAATTTTTTTGATCAAGTATTTCCCACCCACTAGAAATGCATGGTTCAAAAATGAAATTGTTCATTTTCAACGGTTTGAAGATGAAACACTAAGTAAAGCTTGAAAGAGACTTAAGAAGATGCTTAAAAAGTGTCTAATCATAAATTACCTCATTGTATCCAAATGAAGATTTTCTAAAATGGACGAAATATTGCTACTAAACAAGTGATAGATGATTCCGCCAATGGAGATATTTTGTCAAGGACGTACAATGAATCTATGAGATCCTAGAAAGAATAGCATCTTACAATTGTCAATAAGCTGATGTTAGAAGCAATCCAAGAAAGAAGACCCGAGGAGTACTTGAAGATGATGTTTTCACCTCTATCAATGCTCAATTTGCTTTTGTGACAATTCTACAAAATCTAACGTTAGGACAAGACTCAACAACTAAAGCACCAGTTCAAACTGTTGTTGTAATGACTCAAACAACAACAGAATCTTGTGTATATTGTGAAGAACACACTTTTGATAAATGTCCAAGTAATCCATCTTCAATTTTTTATGTGAGAAATCATGCTAGTCAAGGCAACCATAAAAGTAATTCCTTCTTAAACACTTATAACTCAAGATGGAGAAACCATTTAAACTTCTCATAGAAGGGACAAAGGTCATACAATCAACAAACACCACATAAAGCAAATTACCCTCCAAGTTTTGGATACAAAATCAAATGACATATGGTTCTCAATAAGGCAATACCCAAGAGAAAGATACTAACCAAGCTCAGCACGTACTGGGAACATCTCTTGAGAGCATAATGAAGGAATATATGACAAAAAAATGATGTGATATAGACTCAACAAGCATGCTTGTGAAATTTGGAAGTTTAGTTGGGTAAATTAGCAACTGAGTTACGAAATATATCTCTTAGAAAGCTGCTAGTAGATATCGAAACATCAAAAAGAGAGGGCAAGAGTAATGTCAAGCAATAGAATTGAGAAGTGGGAAATAAATATCCAACATGAGAGGTGAGATTAAAGAACACGGTGACAGCACTCACAAGAGACTGTTGATACACAGCAAAATAAAAAATAAAAAAAAAGAGGATAATACTGGACAAAAGGAGTTGAGCAAAACAATCTCCTAAAATGTAAGCAGCAGATAGTAGTGAAGAAGAGAGAAAAACATACATGCCACCACCTTCTTTTCCACAAAGAATAAAAAGAAAGAAAGAGGAAGCCCATTTCGAGAAGTTCATAGATATTCGGAAGGAAATTCATATAAACATAGCACTAGTGGAGACTTTGAGGAAATACCAAATTATGTGAAATTCATGAAGGATGTGCTCACTAATAGAAGGAAGTTTGAAGAATTCAAGATGGTGACACTAAATAAAGAGTGTAGTGCAATTATGAAAATAAGATCACATTAAAGGAAAAAGACTCAGGCTCGTTCTCTATTCCTCTATCCATTCGAGGAAAGGAGTTAGGTAGCGCATTATCTGACTTGGGGGAAAACATCAACTTAATGCCTCTATCCATTTACAAGAAGTTAGGGATCGGTGAGGTTAGACCAACTACAGTTACCATCCAACTAGCTGATAAGTCCACTTATTTAGAAGGAAAGATCGACATTTTAATTCAAGTGGGTTAATTCATATTTCCAGCCGATTTTATTATTTTAGACTATGAAGCAGACCATGATGTACCAATTATCTTGAAGAGACCATTTTTAAAGATGGGGAGAATAATAGTAGATGCTACAACCATAACATTAAGAATGGGTAACTATAAAGTAGAATTTAATATCAATGACGTTCTGAAATATCCAATAGAAGCAGAGGAATGTTCAGCAGTCTATGAGCTAACACAACAACCAGTAAAGGAGGAATGGGATAGTTGGGAATGTGTGCAAGAAGAGGACAACAACCGGAGTAATTTCACTTAAGAATTGATAGTTTTAGATGAAGTCAACAGTGCTTTTGATCACTTGAATTAGACAGAAGAAAGTGTTAACCGATGAAACCATTTATTGAGGAACCACTTGTCACGACCCGATATTTTACTATGAGCCGTGACTCAAAAGACAATGTGTATGCAAAGAAAAAGTAGAGAAGGTGTAAAGGCGAAATCATTTATTCCTATAACCGAAAGTTTCAATACAAAGATTCAAACAAATAAAAGTTCCAGAAAACAAAAAATGTGAAAATCTAAATGCAAAAGAAAAGATTGAACTGACGCCCCGGGACATGCATTCCTCTATGACAATTCACCCCTCTGATCACGCCCTACCTCGACTCAATGCCTCACATACCTGAAAGAAAAAAATAAAGATAGCAGGAATGAGTATAAAATTATACCCAATAGGCCACCTACTTGTAGGCTCTCATCGCATCCTAAGCTTAATAGTCAATCACGAGTTTCTCATTGGCTCTAGGACGTCTGGTTCTAATCTTAGACCCTGGATGCCCCTTGGGACCTTTATTGTTCTTCGTCCTCTCATTTAGTACCTACGAGTTCTTTATGCTAAGCTGGACTGACCGGTATCTCTCTACGAGGTGCTACCTTTACATGGCTAACTGAGACTACATGGTATCTTGTGTGCTAAGTACCTCCTAAGCCCATAATAGTCCCCCTAGGGGGGGTGCAACCCAACCCGTTTCCATGCAGGTAATGGGCTATACAACGTGGGGTCACGTTTCCCATGCGAAACGGCTAGGATCAGTAGGAACTGATCGGGACCTCTGGTCTTCCCACGAAACTATAGACACCGTTCAGACAATTAACAGCTTAAAAACATCTCTAAGGTACTACGTTTATCGTGGTGATTTGCTAAGCTCTTAAGGATAGGATTGATCTAAGCTCAGTGACTGGTCACTCTAATCTTGGATCCCTAGGCTCATTCCTAAGATGTTTACTAAATATTATAGCATTTCCTAAACATTATAAAGAGGGAGAAACATCAAGAATCAGATACATTATACAGTTTATGCAAAATAGGCAATTATGCTCAACGGGTGATAACGTTCATCAACACCCAGAACACAGAGTTCACAATTTACCCATCTTTCTTTCAACATGCATAAACAATTACACACTAAGCAGAAGCATAAAACATGTTTAACGTATCATGGAAGCATATATAACTGGTCATACAACATGTACTTTGCAACCTAAGCTCACAACATAGAAAAGTCCAATCACATAAGGAAACTAATCTAGCATGCATGCATACCAAGGTGATTTCTATAAGTATTTCTTCCAAAGTTCCGTGTGGTGATCTACCTGGTTGACGCGTGCCCTTTTGCTAGCGTCTCTATATTCGTAAGGTGTCCAAAAATATTGATTAACCTTGATTAGGTATTCACATAAAAATATTATTAAAATAAGAATGGGGACAAATAGAAGGTAAACAGATGCAAAACGAGCCTCCCACACGGCCACACGTGCCGACCAAACGCCAGCCACGCGAGGGAAAGGACACCATTTGCAAGCTCACGCGCGACGGGCATGCGCGGACTGCTTCATGCAAGGTGTCCAAAAATATTGATTATCCTTGATTAGATCCCTATTCACATAAAAATATTATTAAAATAAGAATTGGGACAAACAGAAGGTAAACGGACGCAAAACGAGCCTCCCACGCGCCCTCCCGTGCCGACCAAGCGCCAGCCACGCGAGGGAAAGGACACCATTTGCAGATTCACGCGCGACGTCCATGCTGCGGTTCGGCCTGGTTTCTGTTGGTAACAAGTGTCATTATTTCGCTGGAGTTGCCTCGCTCCAGCCGACGCTCGACACATGTCGCCGCCTGCCAAGCCACGCTCCACCGCCCACCGCCCTTTTTTTCGTTTTCTTTTTCTTTTCTCACTCTCTTGCAATCCGCAGCCCTTTTTCGATCCACCGTTTTCAAATTTTCATATCTTTTGATCCGAAGCTCGAATCATCGGCAAAGTTCTAGATCGTGTTAAGGGCTATGTCTTGGTATTTTTTTTGGTGATTTTAGCCTTAACATAGAATAAGATTTGATCCATAGAAATTCGCTTACCATCTCGGACGATTTCTGAATTTCTGCCAAGTTTCTTCACGAAGTCAGCTTTCCTAGATGAACGTATTCAAACATTAGGTCCCGATTCATAAAGGTTAGTCTCGGATCTGGAAAACATTCAAGAACTCACCTCAATTCTCGACGAAGTCTCAGCAGCGGCTCCTCGATTCTCTCAAACCCACTCCTAGTCTTCCCTTTTTTTTTCTTTTTTTTGTGGCCTCTATTAAGGTTCCACTTGGACCCTTTAATAGGTGGAGGGGCAAAATGACACATTTGCCCGTCCATGGGCTTGGGCCGATTTATTTCTTTTTTTATTATTAATTTTTTTATTTCGGCATTACAAACTCTCCTCACTTTAGGGACTTTCGTTCCCGAATGTTGGAATCTCTTGAAAGAGTTCGAGATGGGCTTTCTTCACCTATTCTTCGTGAGGAAAAAGGAATTTGAACTACAAAAGGTTAGTATTCAAACTCATTGAGTTTTAATGCTTTTGAACATGCTAGCTAATTTACTATAATTAATGTACTTAAAGTGTCTAAGATTCAAATTGCTTCCGCACGTGTTATAGTAACACCATCATCCTCATCTCTGATCCTCAACTGATGATATTCTGACCTCATATCAATTGTGATGTCCCACATTGGTTGGGGAGGAGAACAAATCACCATTTATAAGGGTGTGGAAACCTTCCCCTAGCAGACGCGTTTTGAAGCCTTGAGGGGAAGCCCGAAAGGGAAAGCCCAAAGAGGACAATATCTGCTAGTGGTGGATTTGGGTTGTTACACATGGTATCAGAGCCAGACACCGGATGATGTGTCAGCCTTCTCACTGTTCCCCGAAGGGGGGTAGACATGAGGCGGTGTGCCAGTAAGGACGCTGGGCCCCAAAGGGGGGTGGATTTCGGGGTGGTCCCACATCGATTGGAGGAAGGAAAGAGTGCGAGCGAGGACGCTGGGCCCCGAAGGGGGGTAGATTGTGATGTCCCATATTGGTTGGGGAGGAGAACAAATCACCATTTATAAGGGTGTGGAAACCTTCCCCTAGCAGACGCGTTTTAAAGCTTTGAGGGGAAGCCCGAAAGGGAAAGCCCAAAAAGGATAATATCTGCTAGCGGTGGATCTGGGTCGTTACATCAATCTTAGAGAAGACCGTTGCTCCCTGTAGTTGATCAAATAGGTCGTCAATCCTTGGGAGGGTACTTGTTCTTTATGGTGACCTTATTCAGCTCTCTGTAATCAATACACAGATGCATGGATCTGTCCTTCTTTTTGACAAACAGAACAGGGACTCCTCAGGGTGATACGCTGGGTCGAGTGAATCCTTTGTCTAAGAGCTCTTATAGTTGTTCTTTCAATTCCCTGAGTTCTGCAAGTGCCATCCTCTAGGGTACCTTGGAGATCGGCGCGGTTTCTAATTCTAGATCGATCTCAAAATCTACTTCCCTAGCAGGGGGAAAACTTGGCAAATACTCTAGAAAGACATCAACAAATTCTCTAACGATGTGAACTGACGAGAATATCCGCTCGTTACTGTTTTCTAAGGTCACACTAGCTAAGAATGCACTTGCGCCGCTACGAACCATCTTTTTAGCCTTCAATGCTGTGATGACATTTGGGGATCTCTTAGAAGTGGCTCCCTTGTATGTAAAGTTATCCCCTGACGAAAGTCTAAGGGTCACTACTCGAGTCTCAAAATCTATTGGAGCGCGATTCTCGCATTGCCAATCAATATCCAAGATAACATCGAAGTCTTGCATACTTAACACAATCAGCGCAGCTTCTATGACACGTCCTGACACTCTTACACTACCACCCTTAACTCTATGAGTAGCCATCAATAGCTCATGAGCAGGAGTGGACACTGACAGGGTGATATCTAATGGTTCCTTTTTTAAGTGTGTTAGCTCTACGAATTCCTCAGAAACAAAAGAATGGTAGAACCAAAATCAAATAATACTGAGGCCAAATGACTAAAGACGGGTAGCGTACCTATAACAACTGCGTCAGGCTCGTTAGCTCGCTTGACTATGGTTACATGGGCTACAGCTCGACCCTATTGAGGTTGGGCACCCCCGGCGTCTCTAGTTCTATGTTGCAGGTCAGTTAGTGGGCTGATCCTTCCTCTGAGGGCAATCTGCTACAAAATGGACTGCTTGGCCACACTTGAAACATGCATCAGTACCGGCTCTGCATTCCCCCCTATGAGGATGCTAACAATTGGGACAAAGGGCTCTGTTCTGTGCCGAGGCTCTCCCTTGTCTATCAGTACGACCTTAGGGCTTTCTACCAAGTCTTGGGGTGGTTTTGGTCTGTTTTCTTCCCTTGGACTGCAGTGCGGGGTGTCTGGGATGACGCTGCCCGCAACTTGTCGATGCAGGGTGCATCGATGAGGGTCGCTACTCCGATGGCTTCTGCATAATCTGAGGCTGCCTGGGCTGCCACATGTCCCCTTTGATGGTGTTACTATAACTCGGAAGCAATTTGGATCTTAGACACTCTAAGTACATCAATTATAGTAAATTAGCTAGCATGTTTAAAAACATTAAACTCAATGAGTTTGAACACTAACCTTTTGTAGTTCAAATTCTTTTTTCCTCACAAATCGGTTTCGAACCACCACTAGTGTCTTCCATACTATTTCTGGCCTTAGAATGGGATTGTGAAATCCAGTGAGTGATTAAACTTGATAGGAATTAGTATATGTAAAGAGAGAGTTTTGAGAGATTTTCTCAAAGTTTTTGCAAGAAGAATTTATATGTACCTTGATCACTCTATTGATAGAGTCATACTTGCATGTTCATGCCAATTTGAGATTACCAAATTTTGACACTCAAATTTGTGGGATTACGTGGCAAGCATGCAAGTTTGAGTTGACCAAATTTTTACACTCAAAATTCCACTCAAATTTGTGGTGTTTATTTGGCAAACATGCAAGTTTGGTTAAACCAAATTTTGACACTCAACATTCCACTCAAATTTGTGGATAATGCGGTAAACACACAAGTTTGGTTAAATCATATATTGACACTCAATATTACACTAACTCAAACATGGATTTTTCCATTAATTGAAGTTAACATTTTGACTTTTTTTTTTTTATTTTAATCCAACAATTAATTTAAAAAATTAATTTCAAATCAAAATAATATTAAATGATTAATTAAACAATTTAATTAATATTTAACATTAAATCAAATTTCAATCCCAATGGTCACAATTGATTATGAATCCCTTTTCATAATTAAAATATTTAAATCTTATTTAAATATCTCAAATCTCTCTTTTTGTTTAATTCATAATTAAAACAAAATGCGGTTAAATATATCGTATATATTTAGCGTATATTCTCTAATTTGAATTAGAACACTTCGAACTCACTCGTCACACTGTTCTAAGGTTTAGTCCGATATGAGCTAGCAGGGGTACCTAATGAACCTATAGATCATGGGCTCCAACGATGCGAGATTAACCGGCTAAACACATTAACCTTGTTAACTAACATTCGTTAACTACTAGGACACTCCACTATAGCCTAGTAGTTGCACTCTCCTCACTATAGATATATTTCTGTCCATTTGATGTAACCACGATTCGATTAGTAAGTCGATCATTCACAGGTTGTTCGTAACTATAACTGGGTCAATTTACCGTTACCCCTAAAGTTACTTCTTGTTCCTAATCCCTCTCGGGCCAATGAGAGGGTGGGGCCCCTTGTTCAAGACTTGGAGTCAATACTTAAGGGAACAACCTCTCTACTATCCCTAAAAGCGGGTAAGAGTGAATTCCATCTTACACTCTATGTCCCCAGCTATTCACCCAGTCTTACCCCTGAAATGACAGGCCTATTGAGTCGGCGAACTCGAGCCACTCTCACCCATGCAAATCTAAGGATAATTCAGAATAAACAGGAGTTCATAGTTAGCTCAGGATTAAGATCGAGTTACCTAGGTCATCAAATGAAAAAATCAGTCTCAACGGTAAACGACATTATAAAGTGAGAGTGGTTTTCTTCATGATCCGATCTTATGCAATACTCATTGCATAAGACGCCCCCACTCACATGTCTCAACATGTACAATTTAGTGATCACATTGTTTATATCATATACAAAGTGGGCCGCATCCATAGTGTCCGCAGGATAAGGTACTCAACCTTATCCCTGTACTATAGATCATTTTGACTATATACTTGAACTTGATCCACTCTTATGTCTCTACATATAGTTCAAGTAATCATACTATGGCCAGAGTGTTCTTAGTTTATTGGATTTAGATTAATGATTGTAAAATTCACTTTATTCAATAACAATCGTTACTGAATAAACATCAATAATAACTTTATTGAAAATAGAATATATTTTTGTTTACAAACTATGAGTTTTAGGACATAAAACCCGACACCCTTATGTCCTCCCAAAGACTTGCAATGAACCGCTCGGCCTGTTGAATTCTAGATCATACTCCTCTACTGGCTTGTCACCTTGCTTGAGCTCAATGAACTCTGCCTGCAATTTCATTATGGAAGTGACAGGATAGTATTTGCGGATGTATGCTTCTTTGAACCAGCACCAGGTGATTGGCTCATCGTTCGGTTCAATCATCCTCTTAGCACATTTCCACCAGAAGTGCGCTTCCCCTTTGAACATGTACGTTCCATAATGGACTTGGTAGTCCAATGGACACTTTATGAAATAAAAGGCTATTTGAATAGCCTCTAGTCACGTCTCTGCGGTCGACCTTGCCCCTGTCAAAGTTAGGCAGTTTGTGCCTTTGGAAATCCTTCAGATAACGGGACTCCACAGTCATAGTCCCTAGGTGTTTTGGTGCTTGCACTGTTGTTTGATTAGCCATCTATCGCCTACATCATTTGAGTCATCATATTCTGGTTTTGGGTCATTACGTTTTGGTTCTCCATTGAGATGATCATGAAGGTTTGTATCATATCCATCGTGAGCTTGGATGACGGCTGGCCTCGTGTGATTTCTGTATTAATGACAGGCACAGGCAGATCTTCCTCGGTGTGAAGATCCGAAGGGTTCATATCAAACAAGACTTGAGAAGTAGGCTCTGTGTCAGACAAATCCTCAGCAGTAGGATCCGAATTAGATGAATCTTGAGCTATAGGGTTTATATCCGACAAGTTTAGGGCCATCGTTTCCTCTCAGCTCATTCTGGTTCTTGGAGCCCATGGTACAGTCCTCTCGCTA